AAGTAATTAAGCTTCAGACTACCTTAGCTGCATCGGCTTTCTTTGATGCTAAGCTAATTTCCTGGCCTGCTCGAAGTCCATAACCTAGTTTTGGCATATGGAAATCAGGTTTAACTTCCCTAGTCTGAAAGCGAAGCTGTTTTGGCAATCGATTTGCTCAAATGGTTAAATTACTGTATAAGATAATTTTCACCTCCTGATTTTTGATGAAGTCCGCCATAGAAACTTGGTCTTCCGTTTTGTTTGACTTTGCTCCAGATCGCACCGTTTTCGACTCCACAACAGCTATCAGGTTGCGAGCACCAAGCATATGAGCCTAACGAGAGTAGCGGAAAGATTAATTTCTAAGTTGGGTCAGAATATTAAGATACAACAAAACCAGAATTATTTTCAACATAATCTGCACCTAGGGAAAAATGTCAAAACTTCGGCTGATCAGTCTCAACTCAATGGAATAAGACCATAAAACAACATAAAAAAGGATGACGTAAAGCGAGAAATAGGAAATTTACCCGATCGCTGATTATTTCTTTTAGCACCGCCTTTTCCTCTACTTTTGTAGTTGTCTTCTGTTCAGCTGGTAACTTGACATTGCTCGTTGTCGGATGCATTGTATCCGAATTCGATGCAAGACCGTGCGCTGGGACCACTGCGTTGAACTTAGTATTTCTGAAAGTGACGACAAAACTGAAGATTTGCAATTCATCTTGTGTGATATACATAAAATGCTCAACATCAAACCTGTGGGTACCCATAAAGATTGGGTTAGCTGCTCTTTTGATAGGTGGCTGCGAAGTAACACTGTTAAAAGCTCCTCAAAAAAATGAACATGTAGATCGGAAAGCTACGCAATTGCAAAATTACCTCGATTAGCAGACAACTTTCTTGCCTCATTCATGATGTGGTGAACACAGAATTCCGATAGTGAAGTGTTGACAAAATTGCCACACTTTTGACCGCCAAATTTTACACCCTGAAATGGGATAATTTGTCAAGGAGTTATTACAGCTGAGAGAGTCAATCGGTAGATACTTATACTCAATTTGAACTTGATGCTTCAGTTTATAAAGAGTTCGTAACACTCAACAACCCAAATTGGCAAACGAATTTCAACAATTAAATCGAATAAAGTACTTGAATTCTAACAAAAAAAAAAAGAATTTTCGACTCTCTACGAGCTAAGAAAAAATGTATACAAGAATAGTATTCTAATTACCTTACACATTCCCAGGTCGCTTGAAACACCAAGCTCGATTATTTCTGCTCTCTTGAATGCTTTCAAAGTGACTCCGGAAGCTAAAATAGCGTAGTTAACATATCAGAGCAATTTCTGGAGCAATAAAGAGCTTGCAATCCTATAAAAAACTCACAACTGGGTTTGAAATTCTTGCTTGCATCAGGCTTATCTTCGTCAGCAACATGTGGATTCACCAGAGCAGCACAAACTCCAACCTGGGATTTCCAATGCTCCTTATAAGCGTCGCCAAAGAGCAGTAAGCGGATAGGTTGTTCTTGGCAGTTTTTCAGATCATGAAGTTTCCAAATAACATAATCCTTCCCACTAGCACTTTTACGTATGTCTCGACCGACAATTACTCCAGCGGTAACAAATCCGTCTTTTGGAATTGCCTGAGCAGATCTGAGATCAGAAATTCGCACTCGCTTAAAGCCTTGGATGAAGGAGTCAAACGTTTCCGAGGAGATTTTTGGATTTCTAAACATTAAAGAGTAAGTCCTTGAAGTGAATGCATAAAAGCCAAAGATTACCTAATTCTAAGCTGGAAATAACTATCAAACGCAGATGGAACGATAGCTTTCACAGCTGCTTTTTT